AAAGTGTGTAGGGACTAAAAAAGTAATCAATCCTATTATATTTTCAACAAAAGTTTGCTACAACCGCCCCATTTGCTTTTGAATTCACGATGGCTGCCAAATATTGTTGAAAAACAATATTTGACTTTTCAACTCCAACAATCTCCTACTTGAAGACTGATTTTAATCTCTCTTCACACATCGATCAATGCAGCAACATTTCTAGTCTTGTTATTCTAGCATGCCAACTGAAGTTGAACACAACTTCAGTTTGTCTGTGGTCACCGTCTTTGTCAACATGTCTGCTGGATTTTGAGCTCCACTAATCTTTTCAAGCTTCAAAATCCCATCTTCCAGAAGAGACCGGATAAAATGATATCTCAATTGTATGTGATTCATCCTGGAATGAAAAGACGAATTCTTTGCTAGATGAATAACACTTTGATTGTCGCAATACAAGACATTGTTTTCTTGTTTCTTGCTTAACTATTCCAAGAAACTTTGGAGCCAAACCAACTCCTTGTTGGCTTCCGTAACAGCGACATATTCTGTTTCAGTTGTGGAGAGAGCAATTATCTTTTGTAGTTGAGAAACCCAACTTATTGCAGTACCTCCTAGAGCATAGACATATCCTGTAGTGCTCCTTCTGATATCAACATTTCCGGCTAAGTCAACATCTACATAGCCTGTCAGTATCGTATCTCCACCTTTGAAACAAAGCGCTTTATTTGTAGTACCTCGCAGATATCCGAGGATCCATTTGACAGTTTCCCAGTGTACTTTGCCCGGATTATTCATGTACCTGCTAACATCTCTCACTGCTTGAGCAATAACTAGTCTGGTACAAACCATGGCATACATCAGACTTCCAATTGTTGATGCATACGACACCTTCACCATGCGTGTACGTTCTTCCTCCGTCTTTGGTGACTGTTCTTTGGAGAGTCTGAAATGAACACCTAAAGGTGTACTTACTGGTTTAGCATCTTGCATGTTGAACCTGGAGAGTACTTTGTTGATGTACTCAGCCTGTGATAATACCAAAGTCTCCGACTTTGTGTCTCTCTTCATCCTCATCCCAAGAATCTGCTTTGCAGCGCCCAGATCCTTCATAGCAAACTGCTTTGACAATTTTTGCTTCAAGTGTATAATCTCTTGCATGTCTGAGCCTGCAACGAGCATGTCATCAATGTACAATAATAAAATAATGAAGTTGTTATCGAACCTCTTGATGTAGCAACAATGATCTGCTTGGCATCTGATAAAACCACTATTATTCATGAAGCTATCGAACTTCTTGTACCACTGTCTAGGAGCTTATTTTAAACCATACAAGCTCTTCTTCAACCTGCATACCATGTTTTTCTTGTTTGCCTCTACGAAACCTTCTGACTGCCTCATATAGATTTCTTCTTCCAAATCACCATGAAGGAAAGCTGTCTTTACATCTAACTGCTCAAGATATAGATTTTCTGCAGCTACAATTTTCAACACCAGTCTGATTGTAGACAGTTTCACGACTGGAGAGAAAATTTCATTGTAGTCAATACATTCTTTTTGTTGAAAACCTTTGACAATCAATCTTGCTTTGTAGCGTTTTCTCCCATCGTGCTCTTCTTTGATCCTGTAAATCCACTTGTTGTGGAGCGCTTTCTTGCATGGTGGTAATTCAGCTAATTCCCATGTTTGATTTGACATAAGCGAGTCCATCTCATCTTTCATGGAAGACTCTCACTTGACTAAATCCTCCACCTGCATTGCTTCATCATAGCACTATGGTTCACCATTGTCAGTCAGCAACAAGTAGTGCAAAGAAGGCGAATAACACTGGGTTGGTTTAGGAATTCTGGAGAAGCGTCTCAGTTCTGGTGTGCTTGGTTCTTCTTGAACTGCTTCAGGATTGATCTGGATATCATTTCCAGAAATTTCCTCAAACTCAGTAAATTCCTTTGTTTTAGCTTTGGTATTGGAGCTACTTGATTCTATGGTTGCTCTGTCTTTGTACATCACATTTTTATTGAAAATGACATCTCTGCTTCTGATGATCTTCCGATTTTCATAGTCCCAAAACCGGTAACCGAACTCATCACCGCCATAACCAACAAAGGCACATTTGTTGGACTTAACATCAAGTTTACTTCTTTCAGCAGAGTCTATGCGTACATAAGAAATACAACCAAACACTCTTAAGTGTGAAAGGTTTATTTCTTTCTTGCTCCAAACTTCCTCTGGTATTCTACCATCCAAAGGAACTGAGGGCCCATGGTTGATCAGGTAAGTTGCAGTGTTGATAGCTTCAGCCCATAGAAATTTGGGCAATCCGGCATGTATCATCATGCTTCTGGCACGTTCATTTAGAGTTATGTTCATGCGCTCTGCTACACCATTCTGTTGTGGTGTCATGAGAACTGTTGTCTCCATCTTGATCCCATTGTTTGCGCAAAAATCTCTGAATTTACTGTTTCTGTACTTTCCTCCATTGTCAGACCTCAACCGCTTGACTTTCAAACCAATCTCATTTTCCACCATGGCCTTCCATTTTCTGAAGGTATCAAAGACTTCTGATTCCTTCTTCAGAAAATAAACTCACACATTCCTCGTAGAATCATCGAGGAAGGTGACATAATATAATGAGCCTGCAAGAGATAGAATTGGAGATGGTCCACATACATCAATATGAACCAACTCTAACCTTTCTGCTTTGGGTGTCTTGCCAATCTTTACAAAACTTACTTTCTTTTATTTGCCAAAAATGCAATCCTCGTATAGCCCGACATCTACACTCTTTAGATCTGGCAGCTTCCCTTTTGAAAAAAGTGTCTTCATCTCTTTCTAGCTCATATGGTCAAGCCTTTGGTGCCATAGGTTTGATTTTCCATCAACATCTGCTACTGCAATGATATTCTCTAAATTTGAGGTTACATAGAGAGTACCAGTCTTCTTACCACGAGCAATGACGAGTGCTAGTTTGGTAATCTTCCATTCACAGCCTGAAAAGGTTGTGACATATCCTTCTCCATCAAGATGTCCTACATAAATCAAATTTCTTTTGAGGCCAGGAATATGTCTCACTCCTTTTAGCGTCCAGGTGGTCTGGTTTGGCAACTTTAATCGGATATCTCCTTTTCCGACGATCTTCAAGGTTTCATCATCAACTAGATGAACCCTCCCAAAATCACCACTGACATAGTTCTCCATGATTTCTCGGCATGGGGTGGAGTGGAAAGATGCCCATGAATCCAAGATCCATGATTCAATCGGACTATTGACGCTTAGAATCATGGTATCACCTGTCTCCTCTGTCATGTTGGCAGATTCCTTTGCGCCGGTATTTTTCTTCGGTGCTCGGCAATCTCTTTTAAAGTGACCATTCTTGCCTCAATTATAAAAGGTAAAATCTTTCTTTCCGGTTCTTGATTTTTCCCTTCTGGATTTGGATCTGCCATGATTTGAATTTCTTTATGAAGTTCTCCCTCTGGACTCCGTATGCAAGGCTGAGGAGGTTGATGCTTCACCCGATTCTCTCCGTCGAATTTCTTCTCTCAATACCAAATCCCGAATATCGTCGAATTTTAATTTGTTGTTTCCCGACGAGCTGCTAATTGCTGTAACAGTAGCATTCCAACTGTCTGGTAGAGATGATAAGAGAATTAAAGCTCGAACTTCATCATCGAATTCAATTTCCACAGAACTCAACTGAGTTGTGATTGTGTTGAGTTTATTCAGGTGTTGAGTCACTGATGCCCCTTCCGCCATCTGCAAATTGAATAATCGCCTCATTAAATGAACTTTGTTTGAGGCCGATGGCTTATCATACATACTGGAGAGAGCCGCCATAAGACCCGCCGTGGTATTTTCCTTTGCTATGTTGAAAGCAACATTGCGGGATAACGTCAGTCAGATAACTCCGAGGGCTTGTCTATCAAGAAGAGCCCAGTCTTCATTCTTCATGCCCTCTGGTTGCTTTCCTGAGAGAGGTTGATATAGATTTTTCTAGTACAGAAAATCTTCAATCTGCATCTTCCAAAAGCCAAAGTCTGTACCATCGAACTTTTCAATTTTCATCTTCCATTCGTCTGTAGTCATCGCTCCCACTCGAATCTGGCTTCGTTTGGATCATTTCTGACAATTCTTGCGAACCACCGTGTATTAGAACACCTCCGTCGACAAATTCGTATCGCCGACAAAAATTTTCACTATTCACGAAATTCACTATTCATGTGAATAGTAATGAATAGTAACCTCGCAAAAAATTGATAAAATTCACAACCAAAAGCTCTGATTACCAGTTGTTGGGAAATAACCGAGTACAAGTAATTTTCCTATAACCAGATTAGTGAAAATGCGAAATAAAAGCGGAAAAATAATACCCGAAATTGATAACGAAGTTCAGCCAATTATGCCTACGTCTCTGGATTGCTGTAGATCTTTTACTAGAGAGAAAATTTACTGGTGTTTACAAAACACTCACTACTCACAAGAAAACTCTCTAGTATTGGGAGAAAGAAATGATTTTGAAGCTAAATGGGTTAGGGTATTTATAGTTGAAGTTTAGGGACTAATCTTGTAAATACTCTAAAATGTACATGGACTAAAAAAGTAATTAACCCTATTACATTTTCAACAAAAGTTTGCTACAACCACCCCATTTGCGTTTGAATTCACGATGGCTGCCAAATATTGTTGAAAAACAATATTTGGCTTTTCAACTCCAACAAATAATACATAAGGAATAAGGATAATTTAAAGATAAAGGAAAGAATATAAATCACGAGGAACATAACACTCATGCTTTTGTTTGAATTAATTGATTAGGACATCCAATATGATGATGTAATTAGGAATTTTATTTACTATCCTTGGTGGGTTTTGGGCAGTGTTCTTCTTCTTCTTTGAATAGGGGTTTTGGGAAGTGTTTTTAAGGAAAGAGGATATTGTAGGATACTTTTCATGACTTAATTTTAATCTTTCAATTGTTGTATTGTGATTTAATTAACAAAAATAGCTAAAATATTTATAAAAAAATGAAGGAATGAATGACAAAATTAACATGGAACATTAGAAAGACTCTAAATCATGGCATGAACGATCCGCGGGTTGCTGCAAGGTAGCAATCTCTTTGATGATTTGAGATTTGTCGGCTTCAAATTGATCATCCTCTGCAACATATATATTTACCAGATTTTTCCATTGATTTTACAACATATTATTAGTTGAAATTTAGATTTGATTTCAATATATATATATTACCTTTATCAATATTGAATTCGCCAAAGAATCGAAGAAGTTTGCTTCTATTTGTGACAAGGACACTGAGGATCTCCGGAGGCTTATTTTGATTTGCAACAAACAGCTATCAAATGTGGAAGGAAAATAAATGTTAAACAAAACAACAGGCACAATCCACAGTAATGAAAATAGGGTGTGATCGAGCTGAGCTGAGCTGAGCTCGAGCCGTATGATGCTTGAGCTTAACTCGATGTTTGGGGCTCAAGTTCTGTTCAAGTTAAATTCAATTAAGCAAGTTCATCTAATAAAAATGAGTTTGATTTTTATGTTCAATTCAAACTCTTTTATTCAATCTGACCTTAATTAGGCTCAAAGCTACTCGAGTTATGTATTAAGGTATCGAAATTCAGCTTAACTCAGTTTGACTATCAAGTCAAATTCGAGTTTTATTCAAAGCAAATTCAAGTAGCTTACGAGCAAGAAAGTGCTTTACCTTGAACACATGAAATGTATCCAGTTTTATTGTCTTGTTTGAATCCTGCAAATTGGTAAGCCAAAATGATCAGATTGGCATACATATATACATACATTCATGCATGCATGCATGCATACATAAGGAGAAAGAGTACCCTAAGAAGATTCATCATGATCCTCATGTGTTCCAAGGAAGTCACGTAACGAACCATAACAGCTGAATTTGAGCGATCTAACAACATATCTCCAAGGAGCTGTCACATTGCAAAATCAAAAGCAATGATGATAAAGTTGGTAAATTTACTTTATTTTGGGAACCCAAAGTTCTTACACATCTCCCCAGCAACAATAGTATACTATACCTTCACAGCATGTCGTCTGGTGATGTAACTTTCCGATTGCAGCAGTTTGGTGTTGTATTCATGGAAAAACTGTAAGAATATAATATTTTCATCAGAGATTTAAATGGTGGTTTCCAACGTTATGTTGCCAAAATTGCATTTTCAATCGAGCGCTTTACCCAGTCATAATTTGCAGAAAGGAATTCAGCCACAGTAGATTTATGCCTTGTCAAAAGCTCCTGAAGATATGTTTTTATGTGTCACTCAGGAGTTCATGCTTATTTTTTTTATGCGCGAACTAAAACACGCATAAAAGAAGAAGAAGAATATTGTACTCAGAAGAAGAATATTGTACTCAACTTTAAAAGTGGCTTGAACATCTGATGCTATGTCAAAATTTGGATTCTGCAGATATTGAAAGAACTTCTTCATATGGTCTGATTCCAAGACATACCTGTAAAATCAACCCACCAAAACCATCAATTTTTAGCTTATTTCCCCCCGATAACCTGAGCGAATTATTAGCTCTATAACTATATATGCAAATAAGCAGCCACAATGGCGGATGTAGCCTTTGTTCAGGGTGCATAAAATCTGAATTTCTTTATATTAGTAGTTTATTTTATTGAGGGTGTCCACCTTGAAATTTCATTTGTGTCTATCACATACAAAAAATTTATGTTATTAATATAGGCGTGCCCACCTGAAAAATATTCCTAGATCAGCCACTGAGCAGCCATGGGTTCAAATTCTATAGTTTTTGCTAAGTTGTCTGGTCCTTATTGTGAGTGTCGGACATTGTTCGATTCCTTTCTTAGAGTGTTTCATATATTCAGAGGATTATACCTATATTCCTTTTAATTCTTAGCAGATAATGGATTATGAAAGAATTGGAAGCAAATCAATTTGAAGATCATAATTAACCATGTTAAATGATGTGTATGATCTTTATCACCACTCTCAATTCACAGATTAACCTTTTGTGAAGCATTTTATCAAACAATTTGAAAACAAAATACATATTAACCTTTTTATTTTCTTACCTAGCAACATTCTGATGGCGGATGCACTCCCTTAAGATTGAACCATAAGTCCATGCAATATCACCGTCTTCATAACTGATTCCCACACAAACACAACCGGTTAGAGCCCGGAATTTGATTCCATTGATTCATAGTCATCTTTCAAATATCCCATGATCCTCAAAGTCGAGTGCCAATATCAAAATCATGCAAGTTTTCTATGTATTTTGATTCTGATTATACATCGAAAACGAATATTTCTAGAAAAAAATCTTACCCTGGTAACAAAGTATCCATGATATCCAAGTTATTTCCCAGATACTCGGAAGCAATTACTTTCGAATTCACCTTTTGTCTTTGTAGATTTGCAATCACATGGATAACATTTTGACGGGCCTGCAATCGATTCAAGACCCGAAACTCAATATTTCAAAAAGAATCAAAGAAAAACGATTCGTATTTTAATAGTTCTTATAGATTCGAATGCTTACCCCAGAATCCAAGCTTGGAAGACAACTGATGAGAAGTCGGAACGTATCCTTTTGAAAGAATTCTTTGGTTAATTGAGCACATGATTCTGCATTTGGCTCTATTTGTCCATCCCCAAAAAGAACAGTTCTTATATCCAATAGCAATTTATCCAGTTCTGCAATCTGCACACAATTTAATATATACATCTTTATTCGACAAAAGATCATATATTATATATATTCTAAAGAGAACGACAACGAAGAATCGGATAAACGGAAATCAGCAATGGTAAAGGAAAAAAACCTTCTCTGCTCGTTTCTTTTCGCGGGTCTCGGTGTTACCGTGGACGAAAAGAAGAAGCTCATGCAGGTACTGCACCATCTCAACCGGTGTCCGAGGTTTGGCTTTGAACAACCCCTTCATTTTTCCTGATCCCTGAACCCTCAATTCTCTTATCCCTCTAACAACTAAGTTATTATCTCAGATTGCTGTAGTTTTCAAGGCTTTGGCAATGAAGAATGTATGGATATTAGGGTTTCAGGAGAGGAAGATGGTTTGATATCGAAGATGCCAAGGAAATGAAAATGGAGTCAAAAATTGCATATCATCTTCTTCTTGGAAGGAACCATCAATATTTCATATAGGATTAACGGAGAAGAAACATATATTTTTGGGATTGGAGCTTGTTTTGAGGTTTGCAAAAGGAGGGTGGTTAGTTAGTTATATTATATTGGCTAAACTACACGTTTAGTACCCAGCTGTCACTTTTATTCCGTTTTGTTCATCAACTATTATTTTTTTCAAAATCATACCCAACGTTATGTTTTGGTTTCATTTTGATCATCCGCTTTAAAAAATTAACATAATTTTTGACATGGTATTTATAAAAAAAATTATGATGCCATAACATTATCTTATGGTAACATGCCGATACCACTGTTAATTTTTTAACAGCGAATGACCAAAATGAAACCAAAACATAACTTTAGGTATGATTTTGAAACAAAAAATAGTTGGTTGATCAAAATAGAAAAAAATAATTGGGATACTAAACTTGTAATTTACCCTATTATATTATATAATTGGAGAAACTGAAACAAGATGTTTAAATTAAGAGGTTCCATGTTGATACTTTTGTTTAATCTTAATTTAGTTACTTGTGCTAGAATGTATGGAGATCATACATTTTTCCATTACAATTCTTAAATTTTTATAAAAAAATTATTTGATATACGTTTTGTGTAAAATTTAGTATATACAACTATATTTATTTTAAAATTATTCATCTTATTTAAAAGTTTAAGGTTTGTACAAATCAAGCGATCTCGGTTGTTAAGATCGTTGCTATCTTTTAAGATGATCCTAAGTTTGGGCATGACGTATATAGGGCTATATAAACATTCATTGTTAAATGATTGAGTCTTTCGAATATATACTATCTTGTATTCATCTCAAACTAACAAAAAAAAGTTCAAAGTTAACGACATGCATGTTGATTCACATCATTTAATGACTTAAGTGATTCAATTGACAAAATTGAAAGATTGATAAGATTAATATCCTTAAATAATTATTCAATTTTACAACTTGTATTCTTTAGTGGTTGGTCGTCCTCCTGAAACTTTTTAATTATAACATAATTTAGATTTTCTTTTATTTTTTTTATTAGTAATTTATCTTTGTTCACTAACTTTTTTAAAATTTATCCCCGTAATATAAAATTTATCTTTGTTCACTAACTTATTTACGTATGTTTCTTATTCAGAATAAAACGTTTTTAGGAATGCAGTTTGAACAGCAAAATTTTGTTATACATCCAATCTTCTTGTTATATATATGCACAAAACTTTTCCATGCAAATCTTTCATTATTAGTATAATGGATAAATAAATAAATAAAATAAGTCATGTTTGTATATTTTGTTGCAAGAGAATATTTTAGACCTTTAAATTCAAATGTTGTGAAAAGGATAAATTTTACTGTTGTTTTTCTAAATGTGAATATTCAAACGGTAAAAATCATTCAGTAGATTAAAAAATATTATCTTTTAAAAAAAATTAGATTGATATTATTCGTATCATACAATCATATCGAGGATGTGTTTTATAACGATCTCTTCCTACAGTCAAGTTCCTCCGTCCACGGCGATCAATCGAAACTCTTCGTCTGTGACATGGAACAGCACTATCATTTCGGAACACCACATGACCATTTCTTACGGTCTAACCTTTCAACAAAACAGGTAACAAACCAAGACCAAAGACAACCTCAAAAGCTGCCCCCTTTGCTTCTCTTTTAGGCTTCGCCTTCCACCTTCATTTCTGAGTTTTTCAGCAAACCAAAACTCTACCCCACACCATCAAAACAAAGTGGTCGACCCATCGGTTGCAGAACAGACATGTCTTGTGCATGGTCTTTGGTTTTATGATTCTTTTTCACGTCTCTTTTGTTTTAGCGGACGACATAAATTAATAGTAATTTGTTGGTTGGTTTACTTTTGCCTGTTTCCTGTTGATGATCGGTTGATGTCTTTGGCGGTTGTAGCCGGTCCGGGTTCCAGTAATATGGATAGCAACACTGAGAAGAAGACTCATGAGGGTGAGGAAGAAGAGGATAACGATGAGAGCAGTTTGCATTTGGGTCCACAGCGTACTCTCAAAGAACAGCTTGAAAAAGATAAGGTTAATTCATTTTTGTGTTTTTCAACCATATATGTATGTATTACATGCATTCAATTTTTTACTGTCATATTCTATGTTGGTGATGGTTGAGCGAGTGTAGGATGATGAGAGCTTAAGGAAATGGAAAGAACAGCTTCTTGGAGGTGTGGATATTAACAACATTGGAGGTACTAATTATGTATGTATGTATATATAAATCCTATGCATACATGGATACTATATGAATTTGGTTTTGTGGATTTGATTGCAGAAACACTTGAACCAGAAGTGAAGTTCCTTAGTGTGGCAATCGTGTCTCCCGATAGGGCAGACTTAGTTCTTGCAATCCCTGTAGATGGAAAGCCGCAGGGCTTATGGTTTACACTGAAAGAAGGTAGCCATTATCGCTTGAAGTTCACTTTCCAAGTTAGCAACAACATCGTATCTGGTCTCAGGTACACCAACACTGTCTGGAAAACTGGTGTCAAAGGTAAAATCTACTCAAACCCTCCTACCATGTAAGAATAATTCTTCCCCAAAACCCTAGAAAATACCTCCTTTTCTGTTCCAGTTTATAGCACCAAAGAGATGATTGGAACTTTCAGTCCTCAGTTAGAGCCTTATACACATGAAATGCCAGAAGAGACGGCCCCATCTGGGTTTTTGGCTAGAGGATCATACACAGCAAAAACAAAGGTTAATTCATGCCCAGCACATACTCGTATTCGACATTCATCGAGCATCTCTAATTTCAAGAAACATCGATTTTGTCGTTGTTGTTTCAGTTCCTTGACGATGATAACAAGTGCTACTTGGAGATCAACTACACATTTGACATCAAAAAAGATTGGACATCTGCTGAGTAGATCAGAACAAGATTTGATGATCAGTTCATGGAGTTACTGCATGTTCTTGTCATGCCTATATATATATATATATATATATATATATATATTCACTTTTCAGACGATTTTTCCAGCAGCTAGTTTTGTTCCCCACAATAAACACAAGTGATGAGATGAGAGGGGTTTCACTTGGGAAATGTTTAAGCTTTTTATGAGCAAATTAAGTTTAATTAGCATTTTCTTGATAAATTAATGATGTCTAGAACTCTAGATATTGTTCTTGTTCCATTCTTCTATTCCATCTATGTGCATATATTAAAAATGAGTTATCAGTCAATGATTTTTTTTATCATCAATTTGTTCTCTGTATGATTTTACAATTGTTATCATTTTTTTTATTTTTATGATTTTATTTGAACTTTTTATGAATTTAGAGACTCAACTTAAAAACTACATTATCTTCTTTCTTAAGGGGACGTTTAGTTCACTGAATGTAATATTACCGTTTAGTTCACGGAATATAAGATTACCTTTTGGAATAAGATACCTTTAGGAATAAGATTACTAGAATATAACATTACTTTGAAAATGTTGTATTTCCTTGTTTGGTTTGTTTAGTAGGAATATAAGATTACAATATTTATTGGAAGAATATAAGATTACTTGAATGTATATTTTATCAAATTATTTTTGTGATATATGTTATTTTTAACAAGTTTAACTTTAATAATTAAATTATAAATATTTGAATAAAATTTTATAAAATATTTTAATTGTTATACTACTAAGTTTAAAGAAAAAAATATATTTAACATATAATCAGTATAATTAGTATATCTAACTTATAGTTTTAAATAATTTCATAAATATCATATTTATTTATATAAAATATAGTATAATATTCAAAATAATATTGTGGTCTCGAGTCGACAAATATATTATTTTTCAATGTCTAAGATCTATTTTTTTAATAACTCAAAATTAGATATTATTTTAAATAATTAGTTTTTTTATAACAGTAATAATTTTTACCTCATAAAATTATAAAATGACTAATATACTAAATATTAAAAATATAAAACAATTTTAACTATTGTTTATTAATATTTTACTAAATTAAACTCTTTATATATTACTATGATTAAGTTTATAATTTTGAGTAAAATGTGAAAAATAAAAAATTGAGAATGTTCCATATAAAAAGAATTCATTATTTCAATGATATTTCTATTCAAAGTTGTGTGAATTGTTCATTGCCTAAGAATTTGGAGGCAATGAGATTCCCACAATTTTAACCAGAAAATACAATTATTGGTAATAAATTATTAGCCGATAATGATCTTTTCCGACCAAACTTGAGAACACAATCCGGAAAAGATTATTCCCCTTGGTAATGATCGAGTAATCGAAGCAGACAAAATTCGAAACTTCAATGATAAAATTGAATTTGGGTGATCAAAATAGAAACACACCGAAAATATGACGAGCATGACATGCTGTTTACATGTATCAAACGGATATAATGCTCGGCGAGCTGTTGTTTCAAAACCATCTCCATACAAAGTAAAATTGAGAATTCGAACACAGTTTCAGTTTCAGGAAAATCAACAACATACACATCTAACAATGATACACTTTCCATGGGATGTATCTCACACACTATAGGCTTCACAACATCATCTGCCCAATCTCTGTTCTAACATTTCAACACAGGGATCCGAACACAAATTACCTTAAATCTTATCGATATCTTCATCTTCAAACTAGATGTAATCATCTGCACCGCCGTCATCCTCCTCATCAACAATGCCTTCGTTGAGACGGGTGTCCTCCGGAAGCTCACCGTAGGCTTTCAACAGCCTTGCTTCGTCAGGCGTGTACTTCAGGATCACATCAGCCTTGTCGCCCTGATAGTCTTGAAGGCCAACGAGAATTATATCGCCGGCGGCAATCCAAACCTTCTTGTGCATTATCCCGCGGATATGACAAAGACACTTAGTACCATCGATGCACATCGCCTCGCACCGGCCATTGCCTAGCATACGAAGCAC